TATCTAAATTCTATCCATCTAGGGGATCCCTGGGTGGCGCAGCGGTTTGGCGCCTGCCTTTGGCTCAGGGCGTGATCCTGGAGACCCGGGATCGAATCCCACGTCGGGCTTCCGGTGCATGGAGCCTGCTTCTCCCTCTGCCTGTGTCTCTGCCTCTCTCTCTCTCTGTGACTATCATAAATAAATAAAAATTAAAACAAAATTAAATTCTATCCATCTAGCCATCCATGCATTTATCCATCCATTCATCCACCCACCTATCCACTCATTTACCTGTCCATCATCTACCCATCTGTTTTTTTATCCACCTACCCATTTATCCACCCACCTACCCATCTATCATCCATCCATCCATCCATCCATCCACCTATCTACTCATCCACCCACCTATCCACCCATCCACCTGTCCATCATTTACCCATCTATCTATCCATCTACCCACTTATCCACCCATCCACCCATCTATCACCCATCCATCATCCATCATCCATCCATCCATCCATCCATCCATCCATCCATTAATCCACTCATCCAATAAACCTTTAATGAGTATATCCATGGTCAGGCACCTTGCTTAGTTCTGGTGATACAGAAAAAAATTAGACCCCTTTTCTGTGCTCATTGAGTTCACAGTCTAGCGGAAAGACAGCCATATAAACCTATTGGGAGTAACAATTTTCACAGACTATGGGATTTTAAGGTTAGTGATTTTAAATATTATCCCTTCTATTTCATTCATTCATTTTACTGATGGGGAAACTGTGGTCATTATTTGTTGTGGGCAACAAATTCCTTTTATTTGCCTCCAAATGACCTCTCCTGGGTTTCTATCTCAGTTTAGTTCAATGAATATCTATTAAGCATCTATTATGTGCAAGCCCCAGGGGCAAGAGCTACGGATCCAGTGCTGGAGAAAACATCATTCCTGTCCTTGAGAAAGTCATAACCAAGGGGGAAAGGACACACAAAGAGATAACAGCCAAAATTCTTGGTAAAGACGGGGATAGAGGTGAGCACAGGGCATGAAAATATGGAGGAAGGGTCCCTGATCTGGATTTGGGGAGCTCAGGGAAGGCTTCCTAGAAGCAGGACCCATGAGTCATCTCTTGAAGGACAAAAAGAAATGTGTTAGATGAAGATGTAGGGAAGGGCATGCCAGGCAGAAGGAAGCATGGCTTGTTGGAGGAGCTAGAAGATGGTGTTATTAGGCTTTAAGGAGGGAGGTGGTGAGGGGTGAGTGGAGAGGACGTGGGGTGAGTGGCAGTGTGCCTGAGGTGCCACTTATGGCCAAAGGCCATGTCTTCCTTTCTGGGTTTGATGGGCACATCCTCACATTCCTTGTACTTCCTGAGCTAGAAGCCCCGCCACACACGCTTGCTTTCATCTTTATACAGGTGCACCTGGATTTACTGCTCATTGCTTTATTGTGCCTTGCAGATACAGTTTTTTTTTTAAATTTAAATAAACGGAAGGTTTGTGGCAAGCCTGCATCGAGCAAGTCTATTGGTATCATTTTTTTCCATAGCATTTGGTTACTCTGTGTCTCTGTGTCATATTTTGGTAATTTTTGCAATATTTCAAACTTTATAATATTTGTTATGGTGATCTGTGATCAGTGAGTATGACTTGCTGAAAGCTCAAAGGATGCATTTTTTAGCAATAAAGCATGTTTTAAAAGATTTTAAGTAATTTCTACACCCAACGTGGGGCTTGAACTTACAACCCCGAGATCAAGAGTCACATGCTCCTCTGACTGAGCCAGCCAGGTGCCCCATCATAAAATATTTCTTAGTTAAGATATATATATCTATATATCTATATATCTATATATATATATATATATAGGGGTTTTTGGGACATAATGCAATTGCACATTTAATAGACTACAGTATAGTGTACTGGGAAACCAAAAAACTTATTTGACTTCCTTATTGTGATCCTTGCTTTATTGCAGTGGTCTGGGACTGAACCCACGATGTCTCTGAGGTGAGCCGCTACACCAAGGAGGCCTCACTTGTTTGGAGGAAGAGCCCATCCTTCAAGATGTGGCTTAAGACCCACCACCTCCATGAAACTTCTGTCAATCACCTTCTGCCTTCAATGAACTCTATTGTCCAGACCATGCTTTGGATCTCCATTGTGGTTCTTTATCACCCCATGCAAGTGTAGCTTGCCTTTATAGTGAAACCATAAGCATCTGACGGCTGATTATGTGAGTCATATGGTAAAGTTTAGCTTAATAAATACCAATAAGACTGAATCCCATTGATATAGATTTCAGGACGGATGGAAAGTGCTGGGGTTTTAGGGTTGTACAGATCTGGGTTTGATTCTAGCTATGCCACTAGTTACTGGTTAGTAACTGTAGGCAAGTTTCAAAACCTGCCTAATGCCTCGGTTTCCTCATTTGTAAAATGGCTGATGGCTCCAACTCCAGGGTTGTTTTGGAGACATGGTTATAGGTGGGGGCAAGGGGACATGCTGGGGTTTCCCGACAGGGAGGGTTTGGACATGCAGCAGTGGTAGGAAGGGAACTGCAGGCCAGGATGGAAGAGCTGCTGTGGTCAGGCCCTGAGGCCGAGCAGTTCCCCGTGTGGTCTAGGGGGATGGCCCACTCAACACTGACCTGCATCAACCCCTCTTCCAAACCCTGTAAGACAGGAACTCTCGTCTTATAGAGTGGGACGCTGAAGATCAGAAGGTAGTTACCCTGCCCGAGGTCACGTGGTCACTGTGTGGCAGAAGGACTCCAGCCTGGGCTGTCTGCCACAAAGCTCAGGCTCTGCTCTCCCCACTCCAAACAGGGAGGCTGCATGGGGGGTGTGAGCTGCTTCCGTATCTTAGCTGTCCAGCTCCAGCCCATTTCCAGGTGAGTCTGTGGGTGATCTTCGGTTGCAGCACTGTTTGATTTTCCCCCTGCCCCCAGGCTATTTCTCATCCCCTCCTACTGTGACAGCAGGACCACTCTAACAGTTCCTGTGTGGATCCAGATGGCACAGCCAGGAGAGCCAGAGGTAGGAGGCTGGCCCAGAAAGGTCAGCTGAAGAAGAAGGCATGTCACGGTGGTGGAGTGGGCACAGAAATGCCCAGGACTGGAGTCTGTTCCTGAGACCTGATTTTTTCACAGCCCGGATGCTGTATCTGGCACCAAGGACTAGTACTAATGGCACGTGCTGTCACTAACAACATAGTAATGATAACTTATTAGGAAATCATTAAGCCCAAGTATGTACTCTGGAGCCTTAAACAAAACAGGTGCTCCATTTGGGATGTGTGTGTGGGAAAACAGGAAGACAGAGGGGAAGGGGCAAGCAGGCAGGGCATGCTGCAGGGTGGGTGGGCTCTGAAGGGCCTGCAAGTTTGTGTCTGACCCTGGCACTATGATTTGTAGGGGCAGTGAGGGTGCAGGAGGATGACCAGGGAGCTGGCAATAATAACAACAATCAGGGTTATTCTGTGTAATTGTAATTATTCAGGTTTTTGGGGTTGTAGCTTAGATTACAAGTAATATTTAGCTCTTAGCTCTTAGCAGGGCCAATAAGGGATTGGAGAGGTGAGATTGGCATACATAGGGTTCTCTGGGACCATTTTTGGGAGCTCTGCCCACTTAATGCTCACCATTCAAGAGAGCTGCTTTAGAAACCCACTGTGCATGTGTGCATGGCTCTCCTGCTCTTTTCCCTTCCTACTTAGGGAAGCAGGTGGACAGGAGACAGCATTCCTTCCTCTTAAAACCCCAGGTGTGCCTGGGGAATCCCATAATGACCCCTTCCTCACTGACTCCTAAATCTGCTGTGGTTAGGGACGCCTGGGTGTCTCAGTGGTTGAGCGTCTGCCATGGATTGAGTCCTGCATCTGTCTCCCCGCAGGGAGCCTGTTTCTCTCTCTGCCTATGTCTCTGCCTCCCTGTGTGTCTCTCATGAATAAATAAATCTTTTTAAAAAAAAGTCTGCTGTGGTTAGAAGTAGAAATGCATGTAGTGTTGGTCGCTGGTCCTGTCTCTTTGGAACTCTCTTTGCACACGGTGGAAGCTTAATAAATACTTGATGATGGCTCTGAACCCGGGAAGCCAGCAGCTGCCCCCAGCTCTGACTCTCAGAGCCCCCGGGGGCAGATCCCGGGGGAGTGACCCCGAGGGTCTTCTGCCTTCCTGCCAGGCTGTCTTCTGAGTCCGTGATGCCCGGCTGGAGCCATGGTCCACGTCACACGAAGGCCAGTTCTGCTTCCACGGGTTGCTCTCCGGTTCTTTCCCACCATCTCTTGAGAATATTCCTGGAGCCCAGTGCCACGGTGGAAAGGCAATCCCGGGAGAGGTACGAACCGTGGGTCAGCGCTCCTCAATGACCAGCTGGGTCACATCTGCCGAGTGACTTATCGCTGCTTGTGTGATTTTTTTCCCTTCAGTTTTCATCCGTAAAAGGAGAACCATGACATCATGTGCACAGGGTTGAAGTGCCGGCTGGAAATGACAAAGAGCGCCCTGCACCGGCACCGCGGCGCTCAGTAGGTGAGCTCACGCACCTGGGGTCGCACGCTGACCCTGACGCAGGCGCTCCACGTGTCAGGGCATCATCCGTGAGCTGGGAACACGAGGCCCACCTCCCCGCGTTTACAGGTCCATCTGGGGCCGACCCGGCTGGTCTTCCCGCGTGCCGCCCGCGCATCGGGGTGCATCCCCCCCGGAGGCCGCGCTCCCCCTCCCAGCGCCCCGCGGGCGCGCACGTCCGGGTCGCCAAGACTCAAGGGCTCCTGCAGCACCTGTCGCCGGGGGGAGGGCGGCCCGGGTGGGCCGCGGAAACTACAGCTCCCAGCCCTCGCTGCGCGGCCCGGGTTGGGGGTGGGGGGCAGGAGGGGCGGGCGGCAGGCCCCGCCTCGGGGGCGGGGCCAGGAGGCGGTGGACACCTGGGCCGGGCCAATGAGGGCCGCGGCCTCGGAGTGGGCTGGGCTTGCAGCCGAGCGCTGGCCGCAGGAGGGGAGCAAAGCTGTTGAGCCCGCGAGGAGTGAGGCTGAGCCCGGCCCTGCGCGCTCCCAGAGGGCCACCTCCTGAGACGGAGTTCCTCCTCAGCTGCTTCTGGCTCCGGGCTCCTCCTGCCCAGTGCAATGCATCCTTGAGTGGCGGCGTCTGGATCCCGGGCAGCCCCAGGCAACCGAAACCAAGAAAGAAGACTGGGGCCAAGACACGCGGTGGGGGCTTGGAAGCCTGGTTCCCTCTGAGCACATCTCTGGAGCGAGGGTGGCTTTGGGGTGGGGAGTTGTGCTGCAGGGAATCCAGCCAGGCCCCAAGATGGACACTTCTGGGCACTTCCATGACTCGGGGGTGGGGGACCTGGATGAAGACCCCAAGTGTCCCTGTCCATCCTCCGGGGACGAGCAGCAGCAGCAGCAGCCAGCCGCGGCCCCCCAGCAGTCCCCGGGACCCCTGGTGCCGCCTCAGCCTGCGCAGCTCCAGCAGCAGCCGCCACCACCACCGCATCCCTTGTCTCTGCTTGCCCAACTCCAGAGCCAGCCCGTCCAGCCCGGCCTGCTGCACTCCTCTCCCACGACGCTCAGGGGCCCCCCTTCGGCCAACTCCACTGCCGTCCTCCACCCTTCCTCCAGGCAGGGCAGCCAGCTCAATCTCAATGACCACTTGCTTGGCCACTCTCCAAGCTCCACAGCCACAAGTGGGCCTGGTGGAGGCAGCCGGCACCGGCAGGCCAGCCCCCTGGTGCACCGTCGGGACAGCAACCCCTTCACGGAGATCGCCATGAGCTCCTGCAAGTACAGTGGTGGGGTCATGAAGCCTTTGAGCCGGCTCAGTGCCTCCCGGAGGAACCTCATTGAGGCCGAGCCCGAAGGCCAAGCCCTCCAGCTCGTCAGCCCTAGCAACCCCCCAGAGATCATCATCTCCTCCCGGGAGGACAACCATGCCCACCAGACCCTGCTCCACCACCCCAACGCCACCCACAACCACCAGCACGCCGGCACCACCGCCAGCAGCACCACCTTCCCCAAAGCCAACAAGCGGAAAAACCAAAACATTGGTTATAAGCTGGGGCACAGGAGGGCCCTGTTTGAAAAGAGGAAGCGGCTCAGTGACTATGCTCTGATTTTTGGGATGTTTGGAATTGTTGTTATGGTGATAGAGACCGAGCTCTCTTGGGGTTTGTACTCAAAGGTAGGGGCTGTGGTTTCTCTTTATACCTTGAACAAAAGGAATATGTAGGTAGCAACAGAGAGAGAGAGAGAGAGAGAGAGAGAGAGAGAGAGAGAGAGATTGATGGAGGGGAGAGGCGGTGGTGGGAGAGGCATTTGCTCAATTATATGGAACACTCTAACTTCCCATGGTTTTCTTTCTGAATCCGGGGAGAATTCATTCCTTGCTTTCTTTGGGGGGGGGGCATCCCTGTCCACTGTGTCTGTTGCAGACTCTGTGTTAGGGAGGATGAAAGATTCCCTTCTGAGAAATCGTTTTTCTCCTGGCTCACTCGTACCAAAGCGGAGCCCAGCGGCTTAACGCACCAATTAATTACACTCTGCCTTGATGTGCCTGCCAGTTCCTGCGCCTTCCTCCTCTACTGCACTCCATTTTCCCGAGGATAGGAGAGAAATAAATGTCTGGGTGGGGGGTGGGGACTCTCTGCCTATCCCTTCTCTCTCTGGCTTCTCCTTCTCTTCTCAAGTTTCTGTTTTCCTCCTCATCCCTGACAGACTTTGGGCAAAATAGAAAAGCACCAGTGACCCAAGTCCCTTGGGGGCACAGGAGAAAACACGGGCAGAGGGAGCCCACCATCCTTTCCCCCAGGAAAGAGCACTCAGGATAGAGCTGCTGCTTGTAAACAGCCCCTGCTGAAACCGGCTACAGGTGTCCCTGGCAGAGCAGGTGGGCACCGCCTTGGCCTTAGCCCCGGGGAGGACCTCTCCTTTGGATGGGTGGGATGACAGGGCTCCCAGTGGCTGGTGGCTGGGAGCCCACGCCCTGTGCCCGCCTCTCAGGATATAAGGTGGAGTATGCACACCGGCCGAGGCTGGCAGCTTGGCTTAGCCTCAGCCTGGGCTTGGAAACCACAGCCTCTAGGGGCGTGGGCATGGAGGCAGGTGGGTTTCTGCCAGCACTCTGCCTTCTGGGGGCCCTTGCACTGTGGGCTGGAGGGCTAGGGACCTGGGCATTCATCGGGCAGGTGGATTTCTTCCCACTCTACCGCTCACCCCCAGTGTGTTGTGGGGGGAGGGTGTATGGGAGTGTGTGTGTGCGTGCTGGCTTGTCCCTTGGATTTTTCTTATTTGTCATTTTGGGCAGGGGGTGGCTGGGAGGGGTTCAGCTGTTGGAGGTTTCAAATAGAGCTTGTTTCAGGCTGGGCACAGCTGCTGTGGGACTGCCACATTCCTTGTCGAAATCCAGCCGCAAAGACCTAGGAGGTGCTGATCGGATTTCCCTCATTACTAGCCTCTCTCTCCAGCAGGGCGCGGGTAGACCTGTCAGGCCACCTGAGTGGTCAGCACCAAGACTTCCTTCCAAGCGGAGAGGGTCCCCCAAGGGCCCAGCTGCTCAGAGGAGGCTGCCCCAGCAGAGGGTAGCCCCTGGAAGCCTCTTGCATCTGAATAGTGCCAGGATTTGAGCCCCTCAGAGAGCAGAAGTGAGCGGGGTTTCCCCGGGAATAGCAGCTTACTTAGTCATCCCTGAAGCCAGCCTCTGAGCCTGCTGCTGCTCCCTTGGGCTGCCTCTCCTGCTGGCACTTGGGAGGGGGCATGGAGGGGCTGGCACCCTCAGCATAGCCCTGGCATCCTCTGGCCACCTATGGGGACCAGGAGCTCACAGCCAGGGAGACTGAGAAAGGTGCAAGCACTAGGGGGCAAGGGGAAGGGGGGAGGCCAGCACCCCAGTGGCCCCCATGGTCAGAGCTCTTGAGGGAATGGCTTCTTCTGGGGATGGGCCCCAGCATGGGGTGGGTCAGTGTACCTTGGTCATGATGCCAGGGGAGGGTTGTTGCTGGCAGGGAAGGGTCTGGAGCAGGTGCTATTCCTATGGAGTATTCCGGGAGGGGACCTGACCTGGAGCCAGGGAAAGCAGACTGCAGTGTAAAGGAAGAATGACGTGGTCCTCAGGGCTGGGTGTCCGAGTGTCTAGGTTACTGAGCCCCATGGTAGCCTGAGGGGTCATGATCAGGAAGGTTCTGCTTGACCCTGGGATGGCATGGTTTGTGATCATCAGGGCTCGCTGTGACCTCCCCCCAGCCTTTCCGTCAGCCTACCTGTGCGTTGAGTCCCTCAGGGACTGGCACTTTTGGGGTGTCTCCTATGTCAGGCCCTCAGGACCCAGAAGGGGTAAGGCAGCTCTCCCTCTCCGCTCCCACACACACGGGATCATTTTAAAAAATCAGAGTGGAGTTTGAATCCCAGCTCTGCTGCTTCCAGAGCTGTGATCGTGGACAAGCCGGGTAACTTCTGTGAGCCTGTCTCCCCAGCTGTCAGTGGGGCGAGCGAATCTGATAAGTGTAAGGCTCCAACATGGGCCCATTGTCATTGTTATTAATAGTGGTGATGAGAGGAGAGACGTCTTCCTCCAGCTCTCTGGCTCCTCCACCAGCTGGGCCCTCGCAGGTTGGGACTAACACTTGTTGCCTGCGGGAGAAATTGCATCCTCTTGGGGAGAAGTTCTGACAAGGGTGGGTCTTCTGCCTGGAAATGGCCTCTAATCTCGGTCCCATTTTCTGGGAGAGTACATCAGGCTCTACCATGGTGAGAGGGTTTCAGTGAGGACAGAGGATCGTCTACTGGGCCCTGGGCTGGCAGCACGGTCTTCTGCTGAACTCTGTGTGTCGGGTTGGCTTTGCGACCTGCATGGAGGTGGCTCTGACGGATTGGGTAGCTCTGCGTTGATGATGGTGTGTCCCACACAGAGGCCCTTGGGACGGGGGCACGCTTTCTCCGCAAGCAATGGAAGGCCACTGGCTCGTGCCAGAGCGGCTGCTTTCTGGAATTCTCTGCTTTCTTCCACGAGGCTGCGGACTCCCGTTGGCATCTTTGGCTGATATCTGTTGCCAGGGAGGAACTGACTGTGTGGGCCTGGTTCCCCTGAGAAGGAATAGAACATGCCCTGAGCCTGTTCAGAGTTCATGCATGAGGCAGCCAGTGCGAGGAGGTAAGAAGTTGGCGAGAAGCCAGGAAGAGTGGCTCTTGGTTCCCTCCTCACAAGCCCCAGGGGATGGCAGGGGAGGCAGCTGGGCTGAACCTGGGCCTGGATGCCAGGAGAGCCCAGGCCATGAGGCTTCTTGCAGAGAAGGGCCACAGGTGGTCCTGGCGGGCACCCACTAGTACAGGGCTGCCCCTGACCCGAACAGGGAGAGCATCTTTGGGGAGTCCTCCCTGGCCTTCCATGTCTCTCCAAAGCTGCTTGGAGGTATACCCACTTTGTTGCCTTGAGCTGCCTGCTGCACTCATTCACTGGGTCAAGGGGAAGCTGGGGCCGGCCTCCCTCCTCCCCGGCCTGCAGACTCCCCAGGCCCAGCCTGCCACCTCACTGTGGCTCAGTTTCTCTGACTCCCTGTGGGCCTGTTTCTCAGGGACCTCTGGTGTCAGTCTGGAAATTACTGGAACAGGGGCAGCTCTCTTTTACCTGGTTTGTGCTCAGCCTCACAGTACCCCAGGCTCATTCTCTGACTGAGTCTCATGTCCCTCTGCCCCTACTGTCCACACCTGCCCGCCTCACCAGCTTCTCCTGCAAGAGGACCCTCCACCCCTCTGCTTATCCCACTAGCCCTGCCTGGCCTTGTTGCTGGGCTCGCCCTGGCCATGGGTGGGAGTTGGAGGGACGGTGCTTCTTCCCTCACCCCAGATGCTCTTTCTTGAACAGAACAGCTCGCGGGAGGCTGCCTTGCAAATGGCAGGCCCTTCAGCATGCCCAGCAGATCCTGGTCATTTCCTGTTCAAAGAAAATGGGGTCTCTTAGGGTAACTTGTTGTGTGTCTTTGCTGACCTCACAGGGGTCAGGGAGTCCACCCTCAGCCTCCAGCCTGAGTGATGGAGTCTCAGCTGTCCATGCCCTTGCCCTCCCTGGTCATGAGGACCTTGTGTGCAGAGGGGCAGAGCAGCAGGTGGGCTTGGTTGGGAGACTGGGCTGCACCTCCTGCCAGACCTGGGAGCCCTCTGGGGTAGGTGGGTGGCTGTCGGGACGACCTGATGTTTGGGAGGAGATGCATCAGGGTACCCGTGTCAGTGGTTGTAAGAATGTTAGCAGCGCTGAATGGGACTGACCCCATGTGGACTGTCCCTGCATGAGGACCTGGAGGACAGGGTTGCAGGAGGTGGGAGAGTCTGAGTGTCCTGAGGTCACACTGTCACCTGGAGTGTCCTGGCCCAGGGAGGGCAAGAGAGGCCCTGAGAGTGTGGAGGCCAGGTTGTGCTCCCATACCAGGTGCTGGTGACCCTGTTTACAACATTGGCGGATAGCCCACATGTGAGTCAAACTGTGTAACTGCAGAGGGGCGACTCAGCAGTGCATTGTCCTCGGTGCATCCTCACCCTGTTTATAGTGGTCCAGGGTGCTTGCCGACACCCCTTCCTCCGGCATGGCGTGGCCCTGGGTGTGTGGCTCCGGCGGGCTGATTGGGAGGCTGGGAGACTGCCTCGTGCGGCCCTTACTGGGTTTTCAGGGAGGGGCACTGGCTAGGCCATGGGCCAAAGATCTGCTTTGAAAAATAGAAGGTAAAGAAACATAAAATGAAAAGAAATTCGAGTCACCTCTGTAGAGACACTGCAGCCTGGCTAGAGCTGCAGAATCAGCAGAGAGCGTTGGTTTTGTGGCCGTTATTTGTACCGCACGTTTGGGGGAGAATGTGTGATGGAGCCAGGGTGTGAGGGTGTCGGAGCTCAGTGCCAGTCAGCCCTTCCGCTCTGTCGGACCTGTTTTTCTCCTCTTTCTTTTAAAACCCCAAAGGGAGAGAGAGAAACAAGAAAATCAGCTATTAAATAATGAGGGTGGGGTATTCTGAGACCACACTGTTCTCAGGAGCCACAGGGAGGAAGTTCTGTGCCTTTTCTTCTACTGAACAAAGTCCGGAGGAGGCTGATGGGTTCTGAGGGGCCCTGGGCACCCCCTGCCCCCCAGGAGCTCAGCTGGAGCTGCTGGAGGAGGGAAGTGGGGCGGAGGACTGGGGGGAAGGATGGCCGGCAGGTGGG